TCTAGATTGACACAGACAGTTTTCCGCAAAAGCACTTTTTGCGGAAAAGCATCCATGTCAATCTAGACGCGCTTTTCCGGAAAAAAAGCCCCAATCGCCATTTTCGCAATCAGGGCTTTTTTGCACAAAACAAATCTGAGCTGTCTACAGTGGCCCTTTTGCACAAAAGCTTTGTGCAAAAGGACTTTTGCCCAAACGGGAGCAGCATAGTATTTCCGCAAGAAGCACTGATTTCAGATAGTAGGAAGTCAGTGTTCTTGCAGAAATTCAAGCGGCCAGCGTAGACAGCTGGCAAGTTTTTCCGCAAAAGCAGCTGCTTTTGCGGAAAAACTTGCCAGTATAGACACAGCCTAGGAGTTTACAACCAGGGTAGCCTCTTAAGATCAATTTTCTTCAAGTTCACACTATCAAGGCTGTTCCATCGACTTTAAGGGCCACTGAAGTAAATTTCAGAGCTCCTGCTTTCCACAAGGAGTAATGCAAAATTTGGCCTGGCATTGTCAAATTCACAGTAGTGTAGACCCAACATAGAGAAACTTGAGGTTTTTGGCCTCTGGGAGGCATCCCACAGTGCCCCACTCTGACTACTCTGGCCAGAACTTGCACTTCTACTGTTCTCTAGCTGAACAGGAAAAGCCCCAGGAAAGTTTGAAATTAATTTCCCGTGTGACCAGTGTGGCAAGCACACCTCAGAGCAGGCCATGACTTCCAGGAATTCAAGTTCTGTGGGTGCCAGTTCCCAGGGGTGCAGAAGACAATCAGCAGGGAGTGTGCAGCTCTTGGACCTCATCGAGGCACAAGGAGAGGAATCAAACCTCTCTGAGCTCTGAAACAGCAAAAGACATGCTGATATCTACGCTAAGATTGCACAGTGGCTGGTGGACAAACAATACTCCAGGGACTCCCAGCAGCGCAGAGTTAAAATAAAGGAGCTAAGGCAATCCTACCACAAGACAAAGGAGGCAAATGGATGGCTTGGTAAATGGCTGCAAATATACTGCTTCTACAAGCAGCTGTATGTGCTCCTGGGGGGATCCAACCTGCTTCCCAAACCAGACCATGGAGTCTGCTCAGGACACTTTGAGCAGCAGTGTGGACGACAGCATGAGGGTGGATGGGGAGGAGGACAAGGAGGATGGCCAGCCAGCAAGCAGTGATCCAATAACTCTTCATCACTTTGCAGCTAATCCCCTCCTCCCAGGACCTCTCTCAGTTGGGCACTGTTCCCAGGGAGGACACTTCTGGTGACTTCACAATTTTTTTCTTGCTTCAAGCAGGCTAAGGCAATTGGGTGTGATGTGTGGTGTACTCTGTGCCTACATAGCACAGGGGACCAAGAACAGTCTGTGTCTAGAGATGGAGCAGGAATCCTCCCTGCCTATCTACCAGAAGCTCTCAGATAGGAACTCTTTGACCCTTCTCATAAGGTTTCTGGGGAGGCCTGCCTCATTCCATCCTCCACAGTAGGACACTTTTCCCCCCGCCAAGCCAGCAATAAGTGGTCTGACATCATTGCAGCACAAGGCCTAGGTTTCTGGCCACATTCAGTCATCATGAGCTCCCTATCACGCTGTGATTCGGAGAAAACTGATATCTCACATGGCACCCTGGATGAAGGAGGAGGAGGAGAAGCTATTAGCTGCTGTCTCTGGTGCTACCACAGCTTCGGCCTCTGGCCCCGCTCACCCTCCTGCCTTCCCGCCCACAGTATCTTGCAGGATGGGAAAGTAACACTCTCCCACAGGTCCGGCAGACAAAGAGGAGGAAAGCTGTGAAAGTCACCACCCTGCCCCTTGAAACCTGTCCCCCCTCCTGCCCGCATGATTGTGTCCTGGTAAGCCCCTTACCCGGGCCTGCCTCCAAACTGTGAGAGTCCAAATGTGCCCTTGGGAGCTCTTGTGTACCTGCTGTATAGGTGACTTTAAAGCATAACTTGGGCCTTGCACAGAACACATCTCCATTGTCTTTAGAGAGACCTTCGCTCTATGTTAACAAACTAGGTTTTAGGTTCCACAATGTATCTCCTGTAATGTGCGCCCTTGGAACTTTTCATTATAGCAGGACCAGCAGGCAGCTTGCTGCATACGCCCCTGGCTCCAGGAGTTGTCCATCTCACACAAATTCACAGGCAAAAACAGACAAGAAAAAACATGTTCAAGGAGCAAATGGAGTGGAGGAACACACTCTTGGAGGACACATGGGCAGAGCAGCCGGAGAGAAAAGCATGAAGAGAACTGGACGAGAAGAATCAGGAGAATACCTTGAAGCAACATGAGAATATCTTTTCATCCCTGACTGCTGTGATGGAGCATGTGCCAGACAGCCTGGAGAGGGATGCCTGTGCACAACTCTCCTCCCTCACCCAATTCCATAGCATCCACCCCTAGGTGCCCCAGGACAACAGGGATGGGGAGACTCAAGGGCAGCACACTCAACATCCAGGGCATCTGGAGGCAAAAGTTTGTCCTGGTGTTTCTGATTCTTTTGTTCCTGCTGTCTTCACATGAAAAACACATGATCTCTGAACAACACTCTCTTTATTGCTTATACTGCAGTGGTGGGTGAAGGATTGCAGACACACACACACACACTGACTGCAGGGACTTCTTGTTGACAGTAATGTGCATGACACTCAGATGGTCATTCATAAAACTTCTTTCAGAGCCTCTCTGATTTGCACTGCCCTGAGCTGTGCTCTCCTTATCACCCTGATGTCCGGTTGCTCAAAATCTCTGTCTCGGTTCTCAGTCTCAAGCCCCCTTCACACCACCAGATAGCTTACCCACATGCTCTCTCAAATATTATGAAGCACACAGCAGACTGACACCACAAAGGGAATGCTACCGTATTTTCCGGCGTATAAGGCTACTGGGCGTACAAGATGACCCCCTAATTTTTTAGTTAAAAGATAGGGTTTCGTCTTATACCCCAGCGCCCCTCCGCCTCCCCGGCTTTGCTCCCGGTGTCCCTGGTCTGCTGGAGACGGTCCCCAGCAGACCAGAGGCACCGGGAGCAAAGCTGCAGCAGCGGTGGGGTCCCGCGCCTCTGAGGCTTTGCCAGATAGGAAGTAAACAACTATAGAATGTCTAGATAGGAAGTAAACAAATGTCTAGATAGGAAGTAAACAACTATAAGTCCTGTGGCACCTTATAGACTAAGAGATTTATTGGAGCATAAGCTTTCATGGGCAAAGACCCACTTCATCAGATGCAGATAGGAAGTGTTTCCAAAATTAAGTCGGCTTTGCTCCCGGTGCCTCTGGTCTGCTGGGAACCGTCTCCAGCAGACCAGGGACACCGGGAGCAAAGCCTCTGAGGATGCCCCGGCAGCCTCTGAGGCTTTGCAAAGCCGCAAAGCTGTATACCTGGTGTATAAGACGACCCCTGATTTTGGGGGGATGTTTTTTAACATCAAAAGTCGTCTTATACGCTGGAAAATACGGTACATCTTCTGAGGTCCAACCTAGTGAGTAGACTCCTAAAACCTTCCCTTTAAATGCCCAAAAGCACATTCAACCACCTTTCTGCACTTGCTCAGCCTACAGTTGAATTGCTCCTTACTGGGGTTCAGGCTGCCTGTGTACAGCTTCATGAGCCATGGGAGCAGGGTTAGGCTGGGTTGCAAGGATCACTATTGGCATTTCCACCCCTCCGCTTCTAATTTTCCAATGTGGGGGAAAAGGTTCCATCCTGCATCTTTCTGAAGAGGCAGGAGTTCCTAAATATGCAAGTGTCATGCACCTGTCCCTACCACCCCACTTTGATATAGGGATGTTAGCAAGTAGATGGGTAGTCAAGTGGAATATTGACTACTTACTCCCACCACCGTAGCTGTGAGGCAGCAAGGAGGGAGGAAACAGGAGTCAGTGCTGGGGGAGCCCTCTTAAAAGCCAGTTTTCCCAGCACCATCTCTGCAGTGCCGCCTGCCCCTTCCCCTCGCTGCCTCTATCAGAGGCAGCAGGGGGGAAATAGGGGAGGTTGCTGTGAAGCAGCTGCTGTCCGTGGTGGGCCAAGACTTGCCGTGTGCAGAGCCTGTTCTGGCAGAAGCCCCTGTTCGTGGTGGACAGGGCTGGCTGCCGCAAACAGGGGCTACTGGATTTAGCGCAAGCTGGGACTGAGTAGTATGGACTTGCACTGGTCCAGGACGCTGCGCCTCTACATTTTAAATGAAGTAAGAACCCAGCAGCTCTTACTACATTTAAAATGCAAAGTTGCAGCATGGGTGGCTCCAAGAGCTGGCACGAGCAAGTCCCTGGAGTTACGCCTGCTGTGACTCTGCAGAGTGGCCCTTATCGACCAATCGTGTAGATACAAATTGTATCAACTACATGAGTAGCCAAATAACTGTAATTTAACATCCTTACTTTGATATTGGTGAAACGGCCCTTGTGATCCATCAGTGCCTGCAGCACCACTGAGAAATACCTATTGCAGTTCATGTACTCCTTGGCAAGGTTTCCATCCATCGCCCCTCTCCAGTTAGGGAACCCCACTGCAGTAAAGCCCTTCACTGTGGTATCCACGTTTCCCAGAATCACTACCCTCTATGGCAGAATGGAATCCATGTAGAATTCTGCTTCTTATAGTGCTGGTAGGAAGGATCCTATGGGTCAGTGCAATGTTCCATGATGTGTTGGAAATATTCCTTGAGTTGGAGAAAGTGAAAATAGGCACTCAGGTCACCACAGAACTGTATCTAAACTAACCCTTTATTCAGGAGTCATAAAATGGTGCTGTTCCATATTGTTTTAAGAGCTGTTTTTAGTATGAGAGCACTGTTCAGTCTTTGGAGTAGTATTGGTTTTCTGATGCACTGCTTTGATAGAGTTGTGGTAAACAGCAAGGGAGAGTACACATTGTCTTAATCGTCTAATCCATTCTGAAGCAGAATTAGTCATCCCTGGTTCAGCGCCTGTACCAGACCAACCACCTGACCACGGATGCCTCTACTGAAATCCTGGTGCAGTTTTGAAGGGACTGTGGCTTGCAATTCCCACTTACTGAAATCCAGGCTGGGGAGACAATCCAATGTGCAAGGTGCGTACTGGTGGAATCTCTCAGGAAGCTGGTGGAAGAACTACAGAAGGCAGCAGCTAGGCCGAGGAGTACCTGAATCCATGAGAAATTCCATTAGAGTATTAACCTGGAGACAGCTGAAGTAGTTATCCAGCTACATAAAACCGCTGACATCACTGTTGGAGGAGACGGCTCTGTCTCAGGGGAGACAGAAGCAGCAGATAGTGCTCCACCCCTGCTCCCAATCCTTCCACTGTGGTTCTGGATAGTGGAGACAAGGAATCAGCCCCAGCCAGAAGAGAAGCCTACCCCCAACGCTGGAAAGTCTGCAGACAGCTCTGAGAGAAAATGTAGGGTAGTGGTGGTTGAAGACTCTCTACTGAGAGGGGGATGGAGGAACCCATCTGTCGCCCTGACATGAAATCTTGGGAGCTGCTGCCTACCAGGGGCATGTATCCGAGACATTACAGAGGGATTGTTGAGGATTATCCAGCCCTCTAACTACTGCCCCATGCTACTTGTCCATGTGGGCACTAATGATACTGCAAGGTGTGATCTTGAGTAGATCAAGAGTTACTACAGGGTGCTGGGGGTACAGGTGAAGGAGTCTGGTGAGCAGGTGGTATTCTCTTCAGTCTTTCCTGTCAAAGGTAGGGGCCCAGGTAGAGACAGGTGCATCCTGGAAGTGAATGCCTGGCCGCAAAGATGGTGTCGCCAAGACGGCTTTGGCTTCCTTGAACACAGGATGCTGTTCCAAGAAGGACTGATAAGCAGGGAAGGGGTTCACCTTTGGAGGAAGGGGAAGAAAATATTTGTATGCAGATTGGCTAAGCTAGTGATGAGGGCTTTAAACTAAGTTTGATGGGGGCAGGTGATCAAAGCCTACAAGTAAGTGAAAAACATGGAGACCTCGGATATGTCTCAGAAATGGGAGGGAGCATGGGCTAGAATAGCAGAAATAAAGAAAGGATAAGGCAGAACTGGAGGGGGGGGGCAAAAATCAAATCAGTATTTTAGATGCCTACATACAAATGCAAGTAGTATGGGGAATAAGAAGGAAGAAATTAAAGTGCTAATAGATAAATACAAGTATCACATAGTTGGTATCAGACACGGTGGGATAATACACACGAGTGTAATATTGGTATAGAAAGGTACAGATTGCTTAGGAAGGACAGGCAGGGAAAAAGGAGACACTGCCTTATATATTAAGAAGGTATATTCTTGGACTGAGATTAAGATGGAGATAGGAGACTGATTTGTCAAGTTTCAGAGTGGATGGATTTGAGAGTGGATGGCAGCTTGGGTGAAAGTGATCATGAACTCAGAGTTCATGATTCTAAAGAATGGTAGAAGGGAGAACAGCAAAATAAAGACAATAGATTTCAGAAGTCAGATTTTAGTAAACTCAGAGAGCTGATAGTTAAGGTCCCATGGGAAGCAAGACTGAGAGGAAAAACGACTGAAGACAACTGGCAGTTTTCAAAAAGACATAATTAAGGACACAAAAGCAAACTATTCCACTGTGTAAGAAAGAGAGAAAGTATGGCAAGAGGCTACCTTGGCTTAACCAGAAGATCTTACATGATCTAAAAGTCAAAAAGGAGTTGTATAAAAAGGGAAAACTAGGTCAAATTAAAAAGGATGAATATAAACAGACAACACAGGTATGCAGGGGCAGGATTAGAAAGGCAAAGACACAAAAAAGATCAATCTAGCTAGAGACAAAGGGTAACAAGAAAACACTCTACAAATATATTAGAAGCAAGAGGAAGACCAAGGACAGGGAAAGCCCATTGCTCAGTGAAGAAACAACAACAACAGGAAACTTAGAAATGGCAGAGGTGCTTAATGGCTTATTTATTTCGGTTTTCACAAAAAAGAGGGATGGTGACAGGATGCCTACCATAGTGAATGCCATTGGAAATGGGGTAGATTTAGAAAATAAAAAAAATGAACAAGTTAAAAGTTACTTAGAAAAGTTAGATGTCTGCAAGTCACTAGGGCCTGATGAAATGCATCCTAGAATACTCAAGAGGCAGATAGAGGAGGTTTCTGAGCCTTTAGCTATCATCTTTGGAAAAGAGTCATGGAAGTCAGGAGAGATTCCAGAAGATTGGAAAAGGTCAAATATAGTGCCTGTCTATAAAAAGGAAAATAATCCAGGAAACCACAGACTAGTCAGTTTAACTTCTATGCCAGGGAAATTAATGGGAGTAAGTAATGAAACAATTCATCTGCAAACATCTGGAAAATAAAAAGGTAACAGGTAACAGCCAGCATGGATTTGTAAAGAACAAGACACGTCAAACCAATCTGATCGCTTTCTTTGATAGGATAACAAATTTTGTGGATAAGGGAGAAGTGGCAGACGTGGTATACCTAGACTTTAGTAAAGCATATGATACGGTCTCACATGACCATCTTATCAAGAAACTAGAGGAATACAATCTAGATGGGGCCACTATAAGGTGAGTGCATAACTAGCTGGATAACCATTAATAAATACTCTCTGAGAATGGTTTACAGACATGCTGGAAGGACGTAACAAGTAGGGTTCCACAGGGGTCTGTCTTGGCACTGGCTCTGTTCAATAACTTCATTAATGATTTAAATGATGGCATAGAGAGTACGCTTATTAAGTTTGCAGATGATACCAAGCTGGGAGGAGTTGCAAGTGCTTTAGAGGACAGGGTCATAATTCAAAATTATCTGGACAAACTGGAGAAATGGTTTGAAGTAAATACGATGAACTTTAAATAAGGACAAATGCAAAGTACTCCACTTAGGAAGGAACAATCAGTTTCATACACATAGAATGGGAAGCGACTGTCTAGGAAGGAGTACTTCAGTAAGAGATCTAGGAGTCATAGTGGACTACAAGCTAAAGTAGGGGTCAACAGTGTGACACTCTTGCAAACAAATCATACATGATTCTGGGATGCATTAACAGGAATGTTGTGAGCAAGACATGAGAAGTCATTCTTCTCTACTCAGAGCTGATTAGGCCTTAATTGGTCTATTGTGTCCAGTTCTGGGCACCACATTTCAAAAAAGATGTGGAGAAATTGGAGAAGGTCCAGAGAAGACCAATAAGAATGATTAAAAGTCTAGAGAACATGACCCAGGAAGGAAGATATGTCTATACTTGCACCCTCTTTCGAGAGAGGGATGCAAATGAAGACATTCGAAATTGCAAATGAAGCGGGGATTTAAATATCCCATGCTTTATTTGCATATTTGCCTGATGGCGCTACTTCAAAATAGCGCTATTTCAAAATAACAGATGCTGTTAAGACGCAGTTATTTAGAGAGAAAACCCTTCTATCGAAATAACCCTTATTCCTCATACAATGAGGTTTATCAGTTATTTCAAGAGAAGGGTTTTCTCTCGAAATATCACATCTTAACAGCGTTTATTATTTCAAAATAGCGCTATTTTGAAATAACAAGATGCAGTTATTTCAAGAGAAAACTCTTCTCTCAAAATAACCTTTATTCCTCATACAATGAGGTTTATCAGTTATTTCAAGAGAAGGGTTTTCTCTCGAAATAACCGTGTCTTAACAGCATCTGTTATTTCGAAATATCGTCATAACGCGAATATACAAATGAAGCACGGGATATTTAAATCCCGGCTTCATTTGCGATTTCGAATGTCTTCATTTGCATCCCTCTCTCAAAAGAGGGTGCAAGTGTAGACATATCCAGAGTGGCTAAACCCTGGAATAAATTGCCTGGGGAGGTAGTGGAATGTCCATCACTGGAAATATTTAAAAGCAGGTTGGACAGACATCTATCAGGGATGATACAGACAATGCTCAGTCCTGCCATGAAGACAGGGGACTCAAGGACCTCTCGAGGTTCATTCCAGTTCTAGTATTCTATGATTCTATTTCCCTGTTTGAGGTGAGAGCTCTGAAAGAGGGAATTACTAACCTGCTATTTGTGGATACCTCTGTTTTAAAACAGGTGCAAGCCTGCAAATCACATGAATTAACTATGAACATAGTTAAACTCCCAGACTGACATCACTGGGAATCCCTCTTCTAACAGGAACAAAACCTCCTAGATGCCAACATTTGCTACTACTTGGCAGAAAGAGGACATTCCATTTTGGATCCATGCATGAATACAACATTCCCCCTCTCTACGTTTGGAGAAAGTCCTTATTGAACACATGCTGTTTTTGGAATTCTCTGCTAATGAAACTAGAGCAGTTGCAGATGACAGCAGTCCTTAAGAATGCATCATTTCCTTCTTAATGAAACCCAACATATTTTAGCATTTTTCGAAAAGATTAATCATATTTAAAACCAATTTGTGATACACCTCCCTCTTCTAGATAGTGATCCTGTCCCAAATAAAGTTCTATTTGGCATCACTAGCTTAAAAAAACCCCCAGTACAATCATTTAACCAGAATATATGAGCTTTTGCCTAGATC